CGACATCGGCTCCGAGGAGCAGGACGGCTGGATCGGCGAGTATGGGTCCGATAAGTTCTCCTTCGCCCAGATGCGCGAGTTCGACATCGACGTCCAGGTCGCAGGCGGCAGCGTGCTCGAGGGCAAAGTCGACAAGTGGTGGGATTGGATCGCCGAGCAGATCTAGAGATCTGTTTCCGTGCGGGGAGGGGGGAGGGGAGGCAGTCGAGGTCAAGGTCAAGGTCTGGGGCCAGTTACGAATACTTACTTACACTCATATATACATACCTACTTATACCAAACGTACCTACCTAAGTTAGGTACCTAATTATCAATAATACCATTAATGAGCACCCACACGTCTTCCATGGATCTCTACATTCGTGGTAGTCTGCATATAACACTACACGCCACAGCTCCCTCATATACAAAAAAACATACAAGCAAGCACTGCTACCCATATGGGCCCGTACGTTCAGAACAAAAAAAAAGGGGAGGAAGAACCGATTTTGTTTGTTGGTCAATCTTCAGACATTACTAACCTAGCATTGATCTCTACCTACAATTTATCTATTTTCCCCTTCCCCTTCCCCTTCCCTCAAAAAAGAATCCCCAAAATCCCATCACTCTATAGGCCCCCATAAGAAGACGTTGAGTCTTATCATAAATGCACTGCACGCCTTCCATCCCCCATTGCCAAAAAGCTCCGGTCTACCTATACTACCTACTAGTAGGTTACCAAGAAATACGCGAGTTGATCCTTTTCTAAACTTAGTTAAGAGTAGTAGTAAAGTACTATTTCCCAATCGTATACCTATCTATAGTCCTTGGGTGCGGGGGGAGGAGGGAGGGAGGGGAGACATGCCCTTCCCAACCGTCTCCCCTACTTACCCAGACCAATCCCCCCAAAACGCCATGCGTTGAGAATCTTAACAAAACGAACTCTGAAGTAGATGAATGGGGAAAAAAGATCACTATAAGCAGCCCAAAGGCGGCACGATATCTAGGCCTTGACCTGCTTCACCATCCATGTCAGTAGGTCCACCTTGGTGACAACAGCGACCGGCTTGTTGAGAGCCGTGCCCTTGCCCTCGCTGGGCTCCGTAACCACGGCGGCGCTGTTCCACTCGAAGAAGCGGCTCAGCTCGCTCAGCGGTGTGTCCAGAGTGATCTCGACGAACTTGCGGCGCTTGTCGCCTATCCTGCCCTCCCGCGGGTCCGTGACCACCTCGTCCATCTTGCGGAAGTCGAACATGACGTCCTTGACGGGGCTCTGCGCGCTCGCGCGGCCGCGCGAGATGTAACTGAGCAGGTTGCCGAGGGTAACGACGCCGACGAGCTTGCCGCCCGGGCCCGACAGCACGGGCAGCTGGTCGAACCCCTTGTCGCGCATCGTCTCAATGGCCTCGGAGCAGAGGCTTGTCGATATGACCGAGGTGACCGGCTTCAGCCTTAGCGAACGGATAGTAGCGCCTGCGTAAGGGTCCTCGGGCTTTTGGCTCGCATTTCCGTTCAAGGAAATCTCCTCGGAAGCCTGCTCTGGCACCAGGAGGTCATTGGCGGCTAGCCAATCGTCATCGGCGAATTTAGTGAGGTAACTTCGGATGCTATCAGGTAGGATGGCAACCACGACATCTCCCTTGCCAAGGCCCAGATCCTTAATTGCCTTGAACGCGGCGCTCAGCGAGCTGCCAGAGCTGCCGCCAACTAATAAACCTTCCTCCGCAATAAGCCTTCGCGCCAGTTTGAAAGACTCCTTGTCATCAGTCTTGTACCATTTGTCGACCTGCTCACGGTTCAAGACCTCGGGAATGAAGTCGTAACCGATACCTTCCACCTTATACGGCTCATCGCGATGTTCGTCGTTTAGGGATTCGGGCACCGCCAAAATGCTGCCCTGGGGATCAGCGGCCACAACCTTGATGTCCTTCTTGTGCTTCCTTAATCCCTTGGCTAGGCCGGTAATGGTGCCACCGGTTCCCGCGCCAGCTACGATACAAGTGATCTTGCCACCGGTCTGCTCCCAGATCTCCTCCGCTGTGCCGAACTCGTGCGCAAGCGGGTTGTTCTCGTTCGAGTACTGGTCGAGGATGTGGGCATTCGGGATCTCCTTCACCAGACGCCTGGCCACGCCGATGTGACTTTCGGGGCTGTCCCAGGCGGCTTGGGTGGGCGTGCGGATGATGGTGGCGCCTAGGGCTTTGAGCACCGAGACCTTCTCAGCTGACATCTTCTCGGGCAGGGTGATGATAGTCTTATAGCCCTTGATGGCGCCAACCAGGGCTAGGCCAATGCCCGTGTTGCCGCTCGTCGGCTCGATCAGGGTGTCGCCGGGCTTGATGCGGCCGCTCTTCTCGGCCTCCTCAACCATGCGCAAAGCAATGCGGTCCTTCACGGAGCCGCCGGCATTGAAGAGCTCTACCTTCGCGTAGACTTCGCATTCTATGCCGAGAGACTGGGGAATCTTGTTGAGACGGACGAGGGGGGTGTTCCCGATCAATTCGGTTGCCGAGACCACGGTGGCAGCATGAGGGGGCGAATGGGGGAGACCAGAGACACCAGGGGCACCATTCGCGGATGCCATTGTTTGATCGAAGGGACGCGCGATGCGATGTATGGAGTAGCTAGGTTAGGTATGGTGACAATGGTCCTAAGTGCACACACACCGAGCGTTGCTATGTTGCGGTGTAGGTACAACAAGAGGTGGGTGGTAGGTGGTAGGTAGAACTAATATCAAGATGGAAAGAAAAGAAAAAAGAAAGGAATAAAATAAAGAAGTTCTAGAAAAAAAAACCTTTCGACCGTCTGATGTTTATTCGGTACCTAAATTGGTAGGTATGTACATAATAGGATAAGTACCTAACCTTAAGACTCTTGTTCCCTTCCTCGGGAGGCGAAAAAAAGGGTATGAGGCAAGAAGTGGGAAGAATTGCCCCACCAAAACGCCGATACTATGCGCCGTAGCCCGAACCGATAGAAGCCCTTCAGCAGATCAGCGTTACCGGCTGTTTCCGAAACTCAAAAATGACTTGGTACTACACAGAAAGAATATTCCTTGTCTCAACTTTACCTAATGTCAAGATATCATGTAAGTACTCCTTAGTGCTCCCTACTCCGTATGTACCTACCTAAGGATTTAACCGTATTGGGTCTACGGAAACACCACGAAGGGAATCCATTAGTTGTACGCCGAAGTCTTAGAGCCAAGAGCACGAGATCATACTTACTATGAAACTACGGCGTCTAAAACTGACCGGTCTGGCTGTTGATTGAAAGTGGGTAACTATGTCGAAGAGTAAATCGCAATGCACTATTCAACATTGAAATCCATTATTCTTAGTTAGTGTCAGCCGGCTTCTTTCAAGTTGGGACAGGTAGGTGGTAGCTTGAGGTACATAATGTTAAGTTGCCTCATATTGCTACAATAGGTATTAGTGTACGAAGCTTCAAGTCGGCTAAAAATATCCAGAATTAGTTTCGGAACAACAGATATGGTCGGTTGCCTATATAGTACTCAGAGAACCTATAATTCTCTAAACATTGATATTCTTGGCAGTCCTTTGAATAATACTTGCAAGGAAATGCAGTCTTGGAACAGGGCATAACTTGCCTCTATACGCGGTCTAGAATACATAGAAATTTATCAACCTGCTTAGATTCGAAACTATCGTCTCAGCGGACTACCTATCTTTAAGAAACAATGAGTAAGTCAAATAGGACTCTCCTTAGCTATCTCGTGCCTCCATAAGCAGGGGATATACCCCAGGACACAGCGAATCCACATCCCCTATACTTCAGCCACGGTCTTCGACGCAGTCACGCAGACTTTTTCGTCGCGGGCCAGCTCTCTCTCTCTCGAGGCAATGCACTGCCTACAAGTGATGTCTTTAAGTCAACTAGTGCATCGGGAAGATCACTTATACCTCCGCAAATACATGAGGTTCGGGTATCAAACTTTCCTTGCTGTCATATAAAGGCATATTCCATCACACTCCTATATTCTAGTCTTTAGTAATTCCGTCTGCTTGATTTTGAATAAAGAAGATCAGAGATGGCCACTCAGTGGTTGGCGATCAAGGTGATGATTAAGTTGCGCATTACCTACTCCTATCTTCTAATTGTATTGAAATCCCGAACCCGAACTACAGTACCCTACCTATTACATGATTTTGCATTATAAATACTAGTATGCACTTTGTAAAGCTATTTATATACCTGCATTTTATATATTTTGTGTGTGCGCATGACCACCACTGAAGCCCTCGTAGTTCTACTGCCAAGACCAACAAATTCTCACATCGATGGCCCCTTTCAATACTTACTAAGCTGACTGCATTCTTCTCTTGTCAGAGCTTACTGCCGAAATACCCTAACCTGAGTGCCTTTAACGATGTATGGACCGGTGTTTAACAACCTAGGTATAGCCTCGTTTTAGAAACTCAAAGTTTATTCACGGGCTTGTGGTTTAGTGGTGTAAGTTCGCACTTGAATAATTTTCTGTCTGTTCCTGGTAATCCGAACCGTAAAATTAATCCGACTATTAGATAATACTCCCTTCGCATCTTTCGGCAGTCTGGGAGGGGTCCGGGGTTCGATTCCCCGCGAGTCCAACTACCTTTTTGTGTCTCTTTTTATTATCATCATCTCGGAATAGAGATGTTATTTGTTTTTCTTGAGTTTGTCATCATCACAAGTTACGGAAATACACAGTTTTGTACTTATTGTTAAGAAAGCTGGCTTTTGCGAAGACTAAGTATATTTCGAGTTGTTTTATTTTTCATAAATAGGTAATGTTGAACTATAATCCATTTTTGACCCAACATTATGAAATGTGCCTTTTTGGTTTTGTTTTTTCCTTACAGTGAAAAATTAATATGTTCTCTAAATAACTACATATGTTGTTGAAAGGGAAAAACAATGTAATAATATAATGTCCTTCCATTAAAGCCGTAGTTAAGGGCGCTATCGTCATCCGGTCATTAGAGACTCTTTCATCTCGACCGGCTAAAACGGGTTACTATGGGCTTGTGGTCTAGTGGTATGATTCTTCCTTAGCACTGTTGAGGCTTAATACCAATGAGGTATAACTCCCCATCGTGAACTTGGAAGAGGTCCGGGGTTCAATTCCCCGCGAGTCCAGCGATTCTCTTTTTAGTCTTGCCCTAAATCTTTTTTTCCCTTTCAAATTGGTGCAAAGTTTTCTTGTCGATATCGAGTATGCTGTTCAGTTTTATTGATCTATTCGCACTATACGACCCGCCACCTCTTCAATAGCTGACGCTTTTCCAGGACATATTTCATAATTCAACTTGAAAGACTTGTGTTCAGATATTATTAGCACATTGATGCTAGCTTATAATGTCAAACTGAAATTGAGTAGAGAGTTAAGCTGCATCAAGCAGAGTGAATAGCGTGTGATAGAGAAGGGCCAAGAGAAGAGAGACAATCACATTGAGCGGCTGTGGACATGCAACCAAGAATATATTGGAGCTCCGCTGGTAATAAAACTTAGGTATCTATTGGTCTAAGTGGAAACGTCAACGGTGTGCTTATTTACTGATGATTCGCTTCACGGAGAAATTTGATGATATATAATGGGCTATAAGATGTATGTGTTTCTGCAAAACGGTGGGATACCTGTTGTCATTCTTGGAAAGCTAAACAATGACATGTGAACTTTTGACATCAATGATAAGGGTGTCAAAATGTCGTCTCTCTAGTAATGTGGCAATTATGCTACTCTGGTGATGTAACGAACGACGGGATAAATAGGAGAGATAGGGTTGCTACACCTCGGGTCCGGGGACTACGCTTCTATCTTTCCATGTTCAAGATCAAGAGCACCAATCGGTGCGGTCTATATATATTAATATATGCATGCTATAGGTACCGATTTTCTAGTTCCATGATTTCCTCCTTCTCCCCGAAGCAATCCCAAGCACGATTGGATAGTCTTTCTATTCCGCCATCTGTAACCTATTATACAACGAGAAGGGGGTTACTAGGCGCCAGGCCGACTATCGTGATGGCTCAAGGTAAATATACTACAAGTTTGAAACAGGTTTTCTAGATAGGATACAGCATATCTGGATTATAAAGTCTGGGTTATAAAATATCATCCTATATAAAATATCGCAACTGTCGTGACCTGTAATTAGAAACTCCGAACTGATTTCGTTTGAACCCCTTTTCGATCAACCCCGGACTTCATTTTAGAACCACATCCGTTTTCTTGATTATTTAGGTACCCTCAGGTTGCAGCAGGAGGACGTGATTCATCTATCACTGCTGCATATCCAAGCGTATACAACATGGTCAAAATGTTGAAAGTGACGGGCTGATAAGTCGACATACTTCAATGCGGAAACACCTGGTATGCATATTCCTTTAGCATATATTTCCGGTCGGTGCCTTGCCCAACTATGTCGTCTTGGTCAATTCCAGAGCCCTTGTAACTCGCCAATGTTCATCTCGTATCTGGACACAACGCGTACATGCGTCGTCACACATCCTGGTTTTCATTGAAAGCCCCTATATGGGTAGGATACTGTGTAGATAGGGTATTGAGTACCAACCTACGGACAAGGGGAAGGAGACATGGATACTCCTATTATATGTTACACAATGCATGTATACCCAGACGGGTCTCTACATATGAGATTGACAGGTGTCTCGAAACGACATGGTTCCTCACACACCCTTTAAGGCCTGTCCTTCATCATGGTAACGTACGCTTCGAGAAAGGGAATCACCTAATTTAGGGTATACGATCGTCGGATTGTATCTATAATCGGCAAATCTCAAGTGTCAATGACATATCCCGTCTCACAGCAGGTCCCATTTGAGATACTAAGCCCCGATCTATGGGTGGATAGCACATGCTTTATCTCCATCGATCGTTCAGGCCGTCATTGTCATCTTGTGCCATGCAGGTGAGAGTGAGGTGGCTCAAATCGACGAAGGCCCCTAAGAGCAAGTCGCCCTGCGGTGCTATCTCCGCGGGCGAATGATATCCGCACCACCGCTGTTCGACGCCAGTGGCTTCATTAAAACCCGGCAGCTCAGCGTGATACACAGCTCGTTGAATGATTATCAGACTCACAACATCCGGGCCTGACATCATATAACGCTCTTGGGCCCGGACGCCGTGGCCCCGGGTTTATCATGCCAGTCAACAGGTATGAACATCCCGACTGCAAGGCACAGATATTCGATATGCAGGACACGTAGACTTTTTGACCGACCCCCCCTTTTTTTCTTGGTTTCCCGTACTATGAATGAGTTGGCATCGGACTCACAAACGAATCTTGCGAGAAATGTTCAAGTTCGACATGTGTAAGTAAGGCTAGCCGAGGCTCTGCGGGTATGTGTGTGTGTGCGTGCGTGTGTGCACTCTGTCAGATGATTCACCAATAAGGCATATATCGTATTTGCGAACCTAACCGACGCGGAATAAGCAGGAAGAACCGCGGAACCGTTGTCCCTTTGTTCCTTGCTGCATTACTTGGACACAACAGACGTACGACGTACTGCAGATATCATTCCTCTAGTAGCCGTTCGAACTGCCCCGGAGCTTCTTGAACGGTTCCCGATTTGTGATCTCGAGTCGGAAGATAGATGTTCCCACCGTAGTTCCTGGATAGTAATGAGCATCTCACACTACAGAACTGGCTTTGGAAAGTAACCTGCATGAGGTAGTATCAAACCATGTTGGATGAGAGCTGAGCTGGATGGCAACGGTAGCTAACCGCCGCATCAAGCGCCGTATGTTGGTTTCAGAGCCGGAACAAGGCTGCGTACAGAGTCTGGGTCCGCGTATCGCCCGCCATCTCAACACGGCCAACAGCAACCAGAAATGAACGTCAAAAGAAGCGAAAAGTTTGCTAACAGGTCGCATTCCTCTGGGCCGTTCATATTTTACTCCCAGGGTATCCGTAGCCGCCCAGGGAGCGCTCATGTATTGGGAATGTCGAAAATATTTCCAACATCTGGCGAGCAATGGCCAGACAAGGTAGGGAATCATGGGGAGGGCTACCGCGATGACGTCGCGAGGAGGATCACAAATGAGGGCCTAATAACCCTCTCGAGCTTGACGGCTGAGCAGGAGAGACGGGACGCTGGCATTGGCCAGCGAAACGACATCGATGAAACTAACGGGGGGAGGAGCGAAAATCGGGCAGCGTTTACAGCCACCCGCTGATTATCAAATGCGGTCCTTACCTCTACCCCGTACTAATAATCTACCAGAGCGGCGCCATCCGTCTCTCAGCCTCAGAGGGAGCTGCAGTATGACCGCATGCGAAACTGTTGTTGGTGAGAAGCAGGCGAGGCCTATCGGGAGTGGCCAACTCACCACAGCCACAGGGGACTTACCTGGTAATGGCATAGCTGACCTGAGTCGACGCAAGTAGAACCGATGAATGAGATGTGCCCATGTATGTACCTGGACGATCAAGCAAGATTCAGCAGGGTCCATAACCCGGCCATTCGTTGGCTCAGCCGCAATATATTGGAGTCCCACCCCAAAAAAGACTCTCTCGTCCGTCCCCGGAAACGGCCTGTCATGTTTCGAACCATTTGCCATCGGCAACGAGATGTTCGGCAAAACTGACTACTAGTGAAATCTGCCTAGCGTAGGGCTGAATCCGAATTACGTCGCGCGTTCTCTTAAACTCTTGCACGGAAGTCCTAGAATGGAGAAGCAACGCATTACCTAGATTAATCCCCTCCCGATGACCCCTGACTTCAGTCCTAGGAATGAGGGATAGGAATGATATAGTGTACCTAGGCAGGTCGGGATCTAGACTGATGTCCATTTGCATCGTTCAAAGGGCGGGATAGTGCAAGATCATACTATGTACGCCACGCTACAGGCTGCCTCCCGGTGATGCCTAGGATTTAGGTACATTATGGTTCGCGACCTGCACGCGGGCGGCGTGGTTAGGCTGCCAAGGTTTTGCGCTTTGGGGGCCGAAGCTGATTCATCAAAACCCCTTCATAGGACAGAGAGGCTCGTGATGGTATCACCAGCCCAATGCTATTACCACACCCGCCTTCGCATTGATACCTTTCATTACATGGAATGAAAAAGGCGGGACTGTTGAAAAAAGAAGTACGTATTAAGTGTAATATGGAAGAAGAAGAAAAAGGCTTTGCCTCACACTCGTCATGTCTCCGTGCTGTTATGTGCCTTCTCACTGATAGGCAGCTCATATACTAGGTACTAGAGTCTAGTTAAGGACAAACAATCAAACACTTAACTTTTTATGTGGATAGTGAGTCCAGGGATCACAAAAACCTGCGTTCTACAATGGTGAGGGACAAGTCCCGCCTGTGTAGGTGACGACTGATATACCACGGAATTTCCTTGATGGCCTTGATAGGTTGTCCTGTCCGTATGCTTTAGTCTCCTGAAACACTCCTCGATTGTAAGAGTCTGGATGGAAAGTTGTCCTTGTTTGACATAACCCCCTCCCCCCGCCTATCGATCGTCCAAGTAAGGTAGGTAATTCCCATGCCCAGTTCCACCGGCGCGCACGAGGTGCCATACTGGGGCTGCGATTCTGTAATGTAGATCAGCCCAGACGTCATCGCGGGCTGAATTTGTGTTTGCGACGACGGCAATGACGATGATGGCGAACATGATCTTCGTCGAGAGGGGCGCATTGAAGGGGAGGGGACGAAGCGGTGCTTAGGAGCTCATTAGCTGGGAGTTACGAACGGGGCGGTCAGGTGGAAAATGCTGGATGGGGAACGGCTCCTCTCCCATTGAAAAGGCGAATAAAGTCGTTGTAGTGTAGGACTTTTATTACGGGCCTGAAGAAGGACAATTTCCGGATTCAATCCACGTGGATGGGGGAGAAAAGTGGACTTGGAGACAACTTTCAATACGTGATATCCATATTCCACTTTGAAGATCTAACATAACAGGCGTCATCTGTGTCGTGCCGTTACGAGCAATATGTTTGTATGGGACCTCTGTCCACCCAACGGCAATGCAAAAATGCGGACTAGTTGAAATTACTGGGTTGGTGTTTTCAATAGGCACCGGTACTAAGTAGTTGACATACATTGATCAAATTGAGTTGATTGATAGAACTTGAGCATAGAGAATATCAAAGTGGGGCCAGGTTAGTTTA